GATTTCACAGTACAATAATATTATAGTATATGCTACAAAAAATGATAAAATTTTATAGAATCGGTTCATATATTAAATCATGTTTGGTAACCCCTAATTTCACCTTATCAATCTTGATAGTCAATTTTTGTACAAACACGTAATTTTCACGCGATAAATTATGTAATAATCAAAATAAGTAAGATTGGAGACTTGGAGTTATTGGCTGAATTGTTTGAAGTTACATATATGATCACTTTAGTTATTTTTCATATAATATTTTCTTTAATTTTATTATTAAAATATATTTTAGATACAAATTCCTCACAATTCAGGGGATTCAGCTAGTTCGGATTCAGCCGGAGTTTCATTAATTTTAACTGATGTAGTTGATTTAGTTTATAAACAAGTCTTAAACTGTTGATTTTTTTTGGCAAACTAACCCTAGAGCTCCTAGGGAGACGTCCGCATTAGTACTATCAAAACGTTTGTCCACCGGCTGAAGTTGATTAAGAGCTTGTTTGATAACCCATAGTTTCAGCTTATCAGATTTATCATTCAATTTTTTTATCAAACACATAACTTTTGACCTCGTGTGCTGAATTGTGAAATAATCAAAATATGTAAGGTTCAAGTCACTTTCTAGCTGAATAGCATAAGTTACTTTTAAAAACAATTTTAACTATTTTCATATAATTTATTTTTATTTTATTTATAAAATATATTTTTATATCATTCTTTCATAATTCTATCAAACTTTCATCAATTATACTACTAGTAGTTTCAATGATTTTTGACGATTCTAGTCAATTAAGGAGGCGTTAAGGCTGTTTGTTTAAGTTTGATTTGATCTGAATTGACCTGGTAAAAAATTTGTGGATAGCTTACTATTGATTAAGTTTGATATGTTCTGATCATGTATGGTATTGTCAAACAGAAGTCAGTCTCCCTAGGACACATAAAAGAGCGGTTGTTATATTAAAATCGAGGACACATACAAGACAACATTCAGACAAAATTCACATATCCAATCGTGAACCCTAGGAGTATACTTAGAGTCAGCTACCTCATACAAAACAACACGACTCGCTAAACCTGAAACGAGCAAATTTAGACCTAAAATGACTGGAACCGAAACTCTGTCTATCAAAAGAATTCCAAAAATCCAAACATTCAAACCAAATCTACTCGGACTAATACAGTAACAATTGCAACTAAAAAGAAACTGAAATAAAATCTTTCCACAAAGCTCTTCCTGGAATGAAGGTGGTTCCGGAGGAGGACGAGCTATTGCAATATGGGTGAATATCAACTCCACCACCGTCGGAATGGCCGCCCAAGACTTCACGATCCAGCCTCGATACAACCTCTCAGTTGCACCTCATTCATCCACCAAAGCTATTTCTTCTGATGTAGTTGCAATACCAAGCGTTAGATTGATAAGAACACTTAAAACCAGTATAAACTATCGCTCCAACCTCATATTAATAGGGGCGGCGGAAAATCTCAACTCCGACAAAGAGGGGAGACGGCTGCTAGGGTTCCTCTTTCTCTAGAGAGAAGAGAGAGTTCTTTTATCGTAACACTACTTTAATATTTTAATCCGATACTCAATATTAACGCATAAAATAGAGTTATGTTAATGTTTGTATAGTAATTTCTGGAAATAAACGGGACATATATAACGGCAATTAGTAATAGAGAAAAGTATTGCTTAGTAATTATTAGAGAAATTACCATAAATAGGACTAAAAATGTTTGTATATTCCAAAATAGCACTATCATGTTTTTATTCTCAAAATAGAACTAATTACTGTCATGTGTTGACAGTACATTACTAGACTTTAAACATGACAGTATTTTCCAAACTTGGCAGTAATTACTCATATTTTGGGAATAAAAACATGACAGTCCAGTTGTGAAATTTTCAAACTTTTTACTCCTATTTTGGGAATATATTTTCTTTAACTATTAATGAATATAATTGTGTTCAAATTTGCATCATAGTAATTTATATGTGAGTTACTACGATGTAACCTTTGAACACAATTATGATCACTAACAGTTACTAAGTAATGTTGTTGTCCATGACATTTTTATTAGTAATATTTAAAGAAAAACCCTGATTGAGTGAGTATTTGTATTTTATACTCCGTATTAAAAGGGAACTTTTCATATCTGATAGAAATCAAATAATTTTAAAGTATTTTTTTATGTAAAGAACGTAAACTATACCAAGCATTTCCCAACAAGTCAATAAATAAATATACATAGTACCCCCTCTGTCCCTAAAAATATTTACAACTTTCCTTTTAGGGCGTTCCAAAAAAAACTTTCACTTCTTTTTTCGGTAAAGAATTTGCGGTTCACAACAATTCTTACACATTTCTCTCTCCCATGCACAACTCTTCACTACACAATATCGACTATCTTAATTCTTATACCATTTGTACTATGGAAGTAAATTCTGGGACGGAGGGAGCGAGGGGACGGAGGGAGCGAGGGAGTATAAAGTAACTTACACTTCATATGTAGTAAAGTACTCCGTACTACGTATTAGCCACACGTACTTTATGGTGTGGACTTTAAATATGGAATATTACACTTTTATTACTCCGGAAATTGAAAATAAGTGGCAACCAGTAGAAATCAATTTGGCAATAACATACGAAGTATGTTGGTGGGTAGTAATATACGGTAAATATGTGTTTTACATATATAGCAATTTAAGACCGTAGTGGCGACATTATGGTGTAACAATAAAGCAATTTACAATTTACATTATATAATAAAGATATACAAACATTTTTAACTTAACGTTTTTCTCAAGGAAAACATTTAAATAATTTTTTAAATATTTATTAAATAAATTTCAAAGAGATGTACTATATAAACAAGTTATTTGGATTTTATTTAAGACTATGAATTTTATGAGCATCTTCATTTATGTCTTTTAAATAAATTGTTTTTCTCTTCCACATTATTATCACATCATATCTATTCAATAAATTTTATATAATCTTAAAGTTCATAACTCTTCATGAATCATGATAACTCAATTAATTAGTTTTCTAAGATATGCATTAAATTTATTCTAACTATAATCTAAAATAATTAAGATTTGAATCTTGATATCGAATTTTCTTTTTCAACATTCTTCCTAAATAATTCTTTTTTAGAAAGATAGTTTTTGCAATAATCTTACATATCATCCACTTTTATGAAGTAGTAGTCAATTCATATAATTTTCAACGCGATTTTTGTCATGAGTCATCTGAAAACGGTTTCTCTATCCTTTTGTATAGGGGTAGGAATGTGCACATTCGAACCCGTATCTTACCATAGGATAATGTTTTTGTTCTTGTTGTATCATCAAGTTCATATTGAAATAAACAAATGAATGGGATGCCTAACAGTTGGAATGTATTGAATGCAAATTTCTAAAAAATAGTTGGAGTGTATCAGTCATAGACCGTCCCAAAAAAACAACTTGTAAAAGAGAATGTGCTAAGGCATCCAAACTCCAAATACACTGTTTCAGCAACAATAGAATAAAAGGTAGTGTGCCAAGTACCGTGTGGTCTGATGACATTGTTGTGACACTCCCAAGGAGAAGGTTACACGTTCAAGTTTCATCCCAATTCAAGAATGTTGACGTTAACATTGAGTAGACACTATATAGGTTAGAAAGAATTGTCCCAAAAAAAGAATAAAAGGTAGTGACTTGCAAAAAGCTAAAAAATGCATTAACAATAAATAATAGTTTTTGGACCACTAAGTGAGGGTATCCAGAAAAATCATTGTGTAAGAAGTCCCTTAGCATTGATAAAACTCCTATAAAAAAGTATTGATAAAACTCCTAGTTAGATAGATATATGTAAGGTTGTTGTATAAGAGTACACCACATTCCCGGTTTTGTTATCTTCATGAAAGATGTCCAACTCACTATAAAGTTTTATAACCACCACAAGTTTCCTAGTGAATAAAAACCTTTATACTGGTTGTTAACTGCCAATACTCCCAATCAAATAAGCCAAACAAGTAACAATCCATATAGAGTTCAATGTGGAAGAAGTTGGCCTCTTTTAAATGAAAACCTCACATTTCATAAGGGAGAATGGAGAAATTCTTCTCCTCTATTCATTATATTGTGAGCAAAATAAGGGCATAGAATCACATACACCCATTCTCATAAGTATGTACAGAGTATTATGTATAATCTCTCCAAAACAAGTCCTGCGGCCCGGGCTATAAGGAATTATTTGATTTCCACTAATCCAGACTACATTTGATAATATCTAACCAAATATCAACAATACTCTTAATTCATAAGGATTTCACTGCCCCCAATCCCCCATAGTCATCTACTAGGCAAAAAACTCCGTCAGAACTGCAAATATAAAAGCAGATTGGTTTCGATATTATAGGACACTCCAAAAATAAAGGACATATGAATTTAGATATTAGAGTTTAGAACATGGTTATAATATACATGGTTATAAGGACGAATCCGACAACGGATGTCATGTTTCTCTTTTTGGTAAGAAATTTGTGATCCATATCATTTTAGGCATGGGCCAGGCCGGTCCCTGAGCTTCTTCAATTTTTTTTTTGCTTTTCTAATTAACCCCCTCCCCCCCCCCCTTCCCCCCTCCCCCAACCTCCCCGCCCAAAACACCCAGCCCAACCCGAGAAAACAAAAAAAAAAGATTGAAAAAATAAAAACAAAAAAGGCCCAAACCGGGCCCGGTCGGGCCGGTTCCTATTTTTGATGACCCAAGCCCGCCCTGTATAACCTCCAGGCCGGGCCTGCCCAAACCGGTCTCTGGCCGGGCCATCAGGCCGGGCCCAAACAATGCCGGGCCACGACTCAAATCTCAACCATAACTTTTACTTTTCAACCACTTTATTAATAACCGTGCCGAATTGAAATGAGAACCATTATGGGACGGAGATAGTAGTTCTTTGCACCAAACTCTAGATCGTTAAGACCATTCTTTGCACAGCGAGCTCAAATGCAATTGTAATAAGCAACTGTTTTATGTAAATAATAATGCCTTGTGAAATGTGAGATATAAAAATTATACTTAATAATTACAACCAGGTTAACAATAAAATCACAAAATAACCTTAAATCAGTTATTTTACCCAATTGAGATGGTTTGCATAACATATAAAATAAATTCTCCCATGCTCAAGGTATTGATAGACACCTTAATCCATGCAAGATCTTAAGACTGTCGAGAGAGAAAAAGTAAACATTCTTTATCCAATTTTTAACTAAACATTTGACAGGGAAAGCTTGCCCCATATGCACCCTTGTGGTGGGACCCTTCCACAGACACTCACTTTGCGGGATGCCTTCGTGCACCGGGCTGCCCCCATAAATAAGCCAAGTTTCAAGTTTAGTCCTAAATAAATTAAACTGGATGGCAAAATAGAATAGATAGTTCAAGTGTTTTTAATTATGTATGGAAGCTACTAAAAATAACACTTCTCTACACACTTAGAAATTGAAATACACATATTTTCAACTTTAAAGGAAACAAAATGATGGTCAGGTTTTGGAAATCTATCCAACTATAAGTCAGACCACCACATAGTGTCAACTATCAACCCCCACTTGTGGAGCCTAATGTGTGTATGATATAACCACACAAGTAGTCTTAATGCACATTCATTACGTTACCTTTCCAGCACATACTAACTCAATGGAACTACTACCATGTTACAAGTAGCTGGATTTTCTCATGGGGGCCAAAGATATTTTTTTTTGGGGCCAAAGATATATGCTTTGTGTGCTTATCTATCTTTTGAGCTACTCGACCCCTGATTTTGCTGCCACCAGAAACCTTTTTAAAGCATATAAGTTTATCAATTTTCTTTCTGACATGTTCTTCCTTTAGCTTAAAACTTTAAAGAGAATTGTGCAAGTATTTTTATTCCAAACCTTTAACTGTTTCCTAGGCCTTCTCATGTTAACTGTTTCCTAACACAAACATATCCCTTTGGTTCCTGTTTGGCACAAAAAGTATTTTTACTCAATAACAACGTTTAGAAGTATAATTACTTCAAAGCACAGAAGTTGTTTGGTTAGTAATGATACACAAAAGTATAATTACCTTTCAGGCAGAAACAACACATCGTGAATGCATGAGTGCAAGGAATGAGAAGAGAATGTCCCTACAATTAGAAAACATTGATGAACACTTAACTTGGAGCTAAAATCTTATAGATGGGGATTTTTTCAAGTGCAAAAAGTGGCAAAAGACATGGTTTCAGTATCAAATGCTAAAAATAATGCATTCCATATCATGTATGGATTATGAAGGTTTTACCCTGACCCTACCCAATCCCTGCATAACTAATGCTTATTTATTTCAAAAACTTGTACTTTTTGGTGATTTTCTGAACTATTAACATTCAAAGCATGTTATGAATTGAACCACAAGGCCATTAAAGAAAGCTTCCTTCGCTAAAACCATTTCAATGACAAGGCATTCAGTTAACATAATAATAGTTGCTATTATAGTTGCGAAGGCATGAGGTCTAAGCATTTACATTGATGAAATCAATGACAAGGCATTCAGTTAACATAATTATATGGGGTATTAATGACGAAGGAGATGAGCAGAGCTGGGCACAAAACAGAGAAATGGAATGGAAACATACCTGGACGGTTGGCGCGAGAAGACGGAAAAAAATGGGAGCCAGCTCGGTGAGGTTAGAGCACAGATGAGGCCACCTGCGTGATACCAGGGTTAGAGGCCGTTGCGAGACAAAAGAATCGGGAGGGTGTTGAAGCTGAGATAACAAATGCTGGAATAGACGAGAGTCAAGAGATGGAAATTAAACGCAAAAATAAATTCCTTTAAAAGAGTGCACATGTTAAAACAGCGTACCACCTCATAAAGCTAGATGATTACACCAACATTTTTTCATCCCTAAAATGCCCTAGCCCTCATTGACAATTATACGATTTTAAGATTAAAATGCGGTTAACAACATGTGCAACATACTTCCAAGGAGCTGAATGCTAAGAACAGAAGGATTCAAGAAGACCTTAAATTGCCTTCTAATAGAGAATGCGCAGAATACAAAGTAGAAGATCAATGATTGCCTAGCAGGAAACAACTCCGATCTTTTATACAATTAAAAGAAAAATGTCCACACACCATGCACAAAATTTCAAAATGTAAACTTGATAGAATCTCCAATACTGTAACAGTAAATTGAACAGTAATATTGCGGTAAAAGGCAGAAACGAAAAAGACGATACAAATGAGGCACTTCGAGAGGCACTCAACTCTCCAGAACCCAAATTCCCAAATCTAAAATCAGCCTATTTCATTCATCCCCTCCTTCCCTCTCTTATAGTACTTCTATTCTAACGGGCCAGCCCATATTATATGATATGGCCCAGAATACTTATTTATACAATACCATGCTTATTTAATATCAATCTATCACTATTATTATTATTATTCTCTACAGCCCAGGGCCCTATCATATCTCCCCCCTTGAAAAACAACCTTGTCCTCAAGGTGGGTGATAGGACACAGCCTTGATCTTGAACTTCATCTTCATCCTGGAGCCTCTTCCTTCCCAATATCTCTCGGATTTCTGAACCAGGAGTTTCTGTACTTCATCCCCCCACCTCACAAATGTTTCTGCAGCCAAAGATAAGTCTAGTGAAGTCGCAGTCTCTTCAGTGGCTTTAAAGCACTCAATAACGACAAATGTTTCTTTGTGCTGTGCTTCTCCATGTGCAGCAGTTATATGTTATGATGTGCACCCTCCAATCACACATGGATATGCCCTCTTCACCACTTTGAATTCAGGATCCCATACATTTTCAGCTCCTTCAAGTAATCCTAAAGCTCGTATCACCAATACTAACACTTCTAGAGCCTCAGAGCTGGTACAAAGATCTGCCCTGAAAGTCGCTCGTAGCATCTTGCTGTAGTAGCTCATAGTGTGGTTGATGAGTGATGAAATTAAGCGCTTGATATGTGGCTGATCGACACCAGAGTCTGTATGAGTTAAAAACTGTGACAGTACTTGACAAGCATTTACTTTTACACGAGGAGGCACATACATGCCGATTACCCTAACTGCTGCATACACATATTGCTCATTAACCTTTGTTGTTATGTCTTCTACACGTATTTTCTTCCAAATATTTCCTACAGTATCTCCACGATTTCCAGAAAACTTTGTGAAAAAAGTAGTGTCTGGTATTCTCCACCCAACTGGGGATCCCGCAAACTTCTCCTGCCATGACTCCATAAGCCTTTTTGCTTCCACTTTAGCAAAGAATTGATTGGTATTCATCAACCAGATCCTGGTGTGGGCCTGCTGCTTTCTTAACTGCAGAAAAACTATGACACCATACCGCAACTCCTCGAGACTATGCATCATTACCTTTACACGCTTCTTGCTATCCAAAATTGCCAACAAGAACTTAGACAGATAGCCTGAAGGTATTATCTATTTCCAGCTACGAAAAAGAGTACCAGAGTGCAAGGAATTCCTGGATGCATGATCAGCTAGAGTCCAAAGAGACACCGGACACTCAGTTAACTCATAAAATCTTCCAACCAATGTGTTGAAAACCTTCAAGTACTTGACGTTTGTATTCTGTTTTCTCTTCCAACCTTGCCTGGAGATTTCACCTGACTGGTATTCCAGAGAAAACTCATCAGCCCATATGAGTCCAGAATTGCAAGTCCCGAATTGCAGAGAGTATCAAACTGCAGTTCCTTATGGGCACCCTATCCTTGTCATCTGAATGATTGATAACATCATCTGCACCCAAAGGAGCTTGGCCTTGTCCTTCTATATCAGTCACCATTTTCTTTCTCCATCTGCTGTTAGCAAGTTGTGGATCACTATCTCCCCTTTCGAGTAATATATCTGTTCCCCCCCAATTTCAGCAAAGAAAAATTCTGACAGATAATTACACCCTGCATAGAAACTGGCCACCAAAAGGCATCTCCAATTAAAACTACAAAGTCAGTTTCAGCATCGATTTTGACTATGGATTTGGTTAATTCTTCCCTATCCACGCTTTCAGAAATTCTATCTGCTGCAGCAATAATCTCTTCACAGTGATTGATCTTATTACATTCTATCATCATTCCAGGATCAATGTAAGCAAGAGTTCCATCCTTAACAGCAAACTTGGGAGGTTTCATATCTCCACTACACAAGTAAAATGCCTGTCCCATGCCTACAGCTTGATCACAGCTCAAACTATTAAACTTGTTCAGTCCTTCCCAATTAATGTTTGATGAATGATGGTACACCATTGCAGACCTGTTGGTTTCCCGGTCTGGCTTGACAAACTCGTACTTGGAGAAGGTTTCAGGTCCAGCTATTGCACCAGCTTCAGGCCCAACAATCACCGATACTGGTTCCTCGAGTTCATTTTCGCCTTCAGTGAACTTGTCTGCCTTTTCTCTAAACTGCGAAGCACTCCTATCATTCGAGGAAGGTTGCCGCAGTTTAACAGACCCCAAACTGAGTGGTGAAGCTCGCGAAGTGTGAGAAACGGCTAGAGTTGATGAACTGTGAGATGCGGCCAGCGATTCAGAAGAAACCTGTGAAGTAGGAGAAATAAAGGACGATGCTGACTGCGACGATTTCTGCGAACTACTGTGAGAAACGACGTGCGATTGCGAAGAAGTTCGCGATTGCGAGCTGGGAGCTGCTACGCGCGATGCAGTCTGCGAACAAGGGGTATTCATTCGCGACTGCGAACCAGAAGAAATCGGTCGCGACTTCTTTTCCGATGCTGAGTCCGTTTCCGATGATCGTCAGCTCCTGACTGTCCGCGATCGATCTCTAGATCGCCTGCGATAAAACTGACGAAAACTGTCTTGCAACCTGTCCATCTTAGTCCACATCTCCTCCATCTTTGCTTCCATTCGCAGCAATGCTTCTTTCCTCGCTGCATAACTACGTTCAACGGCCTCCAATCGCTGTTCCATCTTGGCTTTTGTCCGAAACATTCACAGCTTGAAATGAAAAATTTCTGATGATGAAACAAGAAATCAGGTCACCAGAAACGATTCTCTGATACCAATGATAGAATCTCCAATTCTGTAACAGTAAATTGAACAGTAATATTGCGGTAAAAGGCAGAAACGAAGAAGACGATACACATGAGGCACTTCGAGAGGCACTCAACTCTCCAGAACCCAAATTCCCAAATCTAAAATCAGCCTATTTCATTCCTCCCCTCCTTCCCTCTCTTATAGTACTTCTATTCTAACGGGCCAGCCCATATTATATGGCATGGCCCAGAATACTTATTTATACAATACCATGCTTATTTAATATCAATCTATCACTATTATTATTATTATTATTATTCTCTACATCCCAGGGCCCTATCAAAACTCTAACTCCTAGAGTTTGTATATGCTAGCTAAACGACCAGAAAATTCAACTCCTCAATAAACACCACAAAAGGATAAAAACTGGAGCCAGATGCAATATGTCATTTTAATATGCTTTGTTTATGAACCTAATTATCTACTGTATATGTTATGAGTTAAATCCGACATGCTATTAGGCTCTTAATAAATGATTCATAGCACACATTCCTAATACTAACTGTAGGACATCCCGGACTACAACACTCCATATAAGCATGATATGCCGGGGAGAACAGTTTTCACCTCAATATTGTGAAAGTGAGTAAATAAAGCAGAACAAAAAAATGAATAAAACATGGGGAAATGAGTGTACGCCGTACCAAGAAAAGATTGATCAATAGCCGGGAAAAATACTGCCATCTGAACAATCTCTATTTATAAGGTGAGAGTGTCTTTTTTATTTCCATAACTTGCGCTGCAAAGGAGAACGATCTGTTTGCAGGAGTTTATGAAATTTATTTACCATCTTAAATGCTATAATCATGACCAACTTAACAAAGTTGGCATGTACTAAAAACTTAAGAGCAAAGCACTAAGACGCAGTCACATAGAACATAACAAACCACAACTGAATGCCTTCCAGTCATTAAAGTTGAGTTTTATACTTTTATTTCGAAATACAATGCCCTAAGAAACTATCTTAGGAAATAAATATAATCTAAAAGGAGTGAGAGGCTATTTAGTGTCAAAAGAAAAGTTAAAATAATAAAGCTTTCTTCCATAAGAAGTTTCGGGATTTTGTTAGTTTCACACAATATCCTTATTTAAAAAATGAGAGATCATAAGTTACTTTTGTCTTAACTCATATCACTCATCACTTGTACAAAAAAGTTGCTACTTTTTACTTCCATTAAGCTTACGGATGCTGAAAAGTAAAAAAATCATCATAATATGATAGTATGACACTCAAATGGATGCCATTTACAGAGTTTTAAAATCAATATATCAAGACCTAAAAAAGATGATGAGATCATTTCAGTTATTAGGTTTTATAGTTTGTTATTAGTCTTCACCTGATCTGAATGTTTCTTATCTGAATTTTTTAAGTTCTCATCTGAATTTTTCTGATCTGATCTGATATGAATCATTCTCATCTGGTCTGATTTGAATCTTTCTGATCTGATCTGAATGTTCCTGATCTGATCTGAATGGTCCTGATTTGATCTGAATGTTTCTGATCTGATCTGAATCCTTCTAATCTGATCTGAATCTTTCTGATCTGATTTGAATATTTCTAAATTTATAATTGTAATTATAATTTTAATTACTATAATTATAAATGTAATTACACATTTATAATTTCAATATAATTATAATTATAATCATAATTATAAAAAAATTATAATTATAGTTATAATCATAATTATAATAGGTATAATTATTATTATATGTATTACACTAGTTTTAAATATAGCTATAATTATAATTGTAATTATATTTTAAGTTATAATTATTTCTATAACTGTAATTTTAATTATAATTATTATATTTATTTCTATAATTTTAATTGTAATTACTCCATATAATATAGTAATAACAAAAACAAAACTAATAACAATAACAACAACAACCATAATAGTAATAAGAATAATAATAATCATGATAATAATAAATATCATAATAATAATCATAATAATAATAGTCATAGTAATCATAGTAATAGTAATAATACTAATGATGATGATGGTGATGGTGATGATGATGAGGATGATGAGGATGAGGATGAGGATGAGGAGGATGACGATGAGGATGACGATGACGATGACGATAATAATAATAATAATAATAATTAATATTATTATAATTATTATTATAATTATTATTATAATAAAAGGGATAAATCATGTCTGAACTTTTCTGATCTGATCTGAATGTTCCTGATCTGATCTGATCTTTTCTGGTCTGATCTGAATGTTCCTGATCTGATCTGAATCTTTCTGATCTGATCTGAATGATTCTGATCTAATCTAAATCTTTCTGATCTGATTTGATCTGAATTTTTCTGATCTGGTCTGAATAAAATAAGAATAAGCAATAAGTAATAAGATTAAGACGAACAGGACAGCTTCTTACTTGAAAGAAATGTGACGTGCTTATGCTTTTTGTTGGGTTTTCGTTTATGAATATGTTTTTTGGTTAATACAGTTTTATACTTCTATCTTATTACACCCTTAAAAAAACAAAAAAAATCCAAATATGACAATTGTAAGCAAAACCAGCCACAACTTTGATAATGAATTCATCCATCCTTCACCTCATAATTTAAATTCAAAAACATATAAGCCTTATAAAACAATCAATTTGTAGAGAGAAGGGAAAAATTATCATGAATAGTGGAAGGCCAACCGAAGAGCTTCACGGTAGGATTTTACAAGCGTGAAGAGAGAGAAACCTTTGTGCTCCGGCATGTTAAAATATTTGGTGTCAATCCCTGGCTTTTCAATCCTCTAACACTGCGTTGAGTTGGTTTTGTTTTTTAAAGATTTGAATACAAATATTAACCACCAACTCTTAAGAAAAAGGTGCACTAGTATAAGAAATCATAAGCATTGTTACCTACTCACCAACCACATTTAGCACGGGCACTAGACTGACATGATTCAAGCAAAAGTTCCCAGCACCTAAAAGGCACAACAGCACGAGAATGAGTACAACAAAAACATCCAAGCTTTATTCCCAATGTTAACGTGGACCGATCCATAAAATCAAAGCCAAAAAGAGAAGAAAGATAAGAATAATAAAAAGATAAAGTAAGATAAAATTGATAAAATAAAGACAAATATAAGATAAAGAAACATAAGAACATAAGGAGACATAGAGTATCGATCATGTCAGGCTGGCCTGCCTGAGGCCAAGTCCATTTGGGGCCTTTCCCAGTTGAATTTTTTGATAATTTTTTTGAGCATGTTTTTCATCAAGTATAGTTTATTCGCACCAAATTTCAGCTAAAAATTCAGTCGACAAGTTCATATTACCTGCTAAAGAGCTTTTTATTCTACATTTGACTGACTTTCCACATGGAATTGAAAAACACTACGCTATTTATATAAAATTAAAACTACTCGCAAGTTCGAAATTGCGAGCGGTTTTACCGGATATTAACAGCTGTTCCAACAAAACAACTGCTAAATATATATGAAAGTAAAACACGTCTTTTCTTTGAAAAGGATCTCATACGGTTTCTTCTTATCCTAGAACTTATTTAGCCTTACTTAAATAACAGACAAAAAATGCTACACAATACGCCTTTATTCCTATATAATTTTTCTACGCTGAACCCATGTCTGGCCATTGACCACCACGCCGAGTCACTGAAAAGAGGGCCAGTCAATGCACTGACAACCACTGCCAAGTCACTGAAAAGGGGGCAGTCAAAGCCACTATCCTCCACTGCCAAGTCACTGAAAATGGGGCAGCCAACGCCACTGACCACCACCAGTCACCACTGGTTCAGTGACTACCAACTGACCCCCGGTCACTGACCATCGCCACAGGTTCACCAGCTAGGGTTAGTAACTAACTAACTAGTACTCTAGAAGTAGTGGCAGAATGCAGTGGTTAGTATGTTGTTAGTATGTTGTTAGTATGTTTTCCATCCTACAATGAACCAAAGTGGTAATGAGTGTAAGTGTTATATGGTAGAGGTTGAGGGTATATTCTGGCAGCGTCACCTCATTTAAGCCTCATAAGTTTTACACAGTACCCACCCAATATGTAGAAATATGCTAGTCCTATACACAGAACTCTACCACAGTACAACTCCATTGAGTAAAAAAAGTAAGACATGGTGGAGGGAGGAATTATGTTAAAATTAGTTTAGATTTAAGAGGGGGTGGTTTAGAAAACTACCTTGGTTGGTGAAGCATCATGCATGTATTTACTCCTGCAAGTGCTTTTCGGCAAAGAGCTTTATATAAGTAACAAGTGAGAAGAGTTGCTGTCAAAATCAGTAGTTGGTTCATCTAAAGTCATGAAGGATAGCTCCATAACTATTTTCATATCACACATTCACTCGCCTCCTCTAGCCCCAGATATGCCTCGCTTCTCCATTGTCCCCACAAGAGAAACTTCAATCCAGAGGCTGCAATCACTCTCTCAACAACTAAAACCTTTTCTAGTTTCAAAATATCCAAAGGTAGATGTTATGACCTTAATATCACCCACAAAATACACACAGAGAACCCAATTCTGAGATACAATGTATTGAGGGAACAAAGATATCCTCCATTGGAAAAAACGCCATCCTGCTTATGTGGACCCTTAAATTTTATCCCAGATCTAGGCCATATTTATCCACCAAACAATGAAACTGATCCCAGGACTTGTAGTCATTTCTGCGACGCAAAGCTCTGAGCATAACCAAATGAATTCTTTTGTCAACTGTGATGCCACTTGATAACATCATACCAAAAAAATATAACATGCCTTGTATCAAATGGCGCTTACACAACCTATTAATAACAGCAGTGTAATCTCTTATTGAAACCTCATATCCTGTATCTATCATTTGCTCAAAAAGATCTATTGCTCTCTTTGCATCACCCTTTGCAGAATGTGCTTTTACAAGAGTGGTATAGGCTTGTTTTGATAAACACACATTCTGATCTTGAAGAAAGGTGAAAAATGTATCAACAACCCTTATATCCAAAAATATACATAGACCGGTAATTAGAATGTTGTAAGTTATATGATTAGGCTGGCTATTACTATTCCTTAACAACTCATTGTATAAACAAAAGGCAATCCTCATATCTCCTGCTTGGGCAAACCCACGTATAACAGTGTTGAAAGCAACTTCATCAGGTGAAAGGCCCTTACCAAATGTATCCTTTAATATCTGAACAGCTTCTTGAAGCCTCCCATAATTACAAAAAGATTTTAAAATCACTGTCCGAGTAACACAATTTGGTTCTATGCCTATTTCCTCCATTTCACTAAGCAGATCAAGCATTGCTTTTATATCCCCCTCTTCAACATATGCATTCATAAGAGTTGTGAAGGTTTGAACAGTTGGCATAAGACCACGTGCATAAATTTCATCAATCAACTTTCTTGCCTCTACTAGCTTCTTGACCTTACAGAATCCGTATATAAGAGAATTAAATGTCATAGTGTTTAGAGCGATTCCTCTCTCCAATAAAAGTCTGCATAGTTGGCCAACTTCTCTGACATCACCACACTTAACATATCTGTGGATCAACCACAGAACAATGTCATCTATCAAGCCATTTTGTGTCAACTCATCAAAAAATCTTCTTACAGCTTTTGTGTATTCACTTGGAGAAGCCTCAGAATCTTTTGTTTCATTGTAGACATGCCACAGAGAATTAGAGTGCCTCAAATTGTATAGCAAATTGTTGTATGTCCTTATTGAAACTTCAACATTTAAATCTTTCATCTTAGATAGAACACATAGACAATCGACCACCATATCCGATCTCAAATAAGAAAAGGCTAGCATATTCCAAACCACATTACAAGAAACCCAATTTTTGAAGTTATTCTGAAGCAGCTCACAAAGTGAATATGCAGAACCAGATCCTGATGGAGATGATAACATATATAAACAGAGAGTGTGCAACATAGTGTGTCATTAAACCATAAAAATGGTGTTTCCATTCACCAGATACATATAAATTCAGTGTTTTTAATTTTAAAATACTCTTTTACAAGTTATAGAAACTCAATTATAAAGAAAAAATTGGTAGCACCTGAATTATATAGAACACTCAAACTTCGAAATGTATTTTCTGAAATTCAAAAAATTCAAAAACGCAAGTGGGTTGAGATTAAGGAAAGTACAGACTCTTGAGATCGAATCAAGATAGGAAAGAAAAGTTGCATACTAAATTAATTTCATCCGCACCATGTTTTGCTCATTATACAGCCCCCAACTTCAATATTGAGTAACAGAAATATTTGTCCCTTTAACCAGATTCTGAATGCTTCCTAGGAGGACTTTATGGGTCATGAATTTCTAACCACAACACAACTTTGAGATTAAAAATACTCTCCCTCTAGTTTTATAATAGTTGCTTTGTATTACTCCGTACTTTTTAAGAAGCTACTCGTATTAAATATCTCCTCTGCTTTCCTAATTTGTCTAACATTGTCCTATCAAAATAAAAAAAAAAAAAAAACTTACTTTCTTATTTTTCTCTATCTTGCTTGTTTTACTTCTCCAACTAAGCTCTCCTACGATTCACTACTACTACTACAATTTTCTTCACAAAAACTGTAAACAACATACTCGAGTAGTTAATTAAAAGGGGGGTAGAGTGTCCTTAAGAATCAAAATGCAACTCAAAGTCTAAAACACAACAATGCACCTTCTTCATTAAC